CGCCGTCTTCTGAGTTCACCTTCGAGTACACTCTGTGCTGTCTCTGCTGACGCCGCCGACTTCTCCGCCATCTCTGTCGCCGCCTTGATTTCCTCTATCGCTTTCAAGTTTTCTTCTACCTTCTCATCCGCCTCGTTTTTGCTCGTGATTATTGCTTCCAGCTCAGCCATTGCAGCTGCTATTTTCTGCTCCGACATGTTCCCATATTCGTCTATTTTCTTTTGCAATGCTTCATATTCCTCCTTGGAAAGCCTTATCTTCCCATCACCGATCCCCCTTTTCTATTACCCGCATATTATCGAGCGCCTTCTTCTCCGCCGCTTTGGCATGTCCGGCCTGTTCCAGTGCTTGTTCTAGCTTTTGCTTTACCTCCTTCACCGCCATTTCCGCCGCGTTGGCATCTTTCCTCAGCGTTTCGATATTATTCTTCATCTCTTTGGCTTCTTTTCTTGCAGTCTCGGCTTCTAATAAAAGCTGTTGCAGCCTAGCATTGTGATCACCATTAAGAGATTCCCTTTCAGCTTCTTTCCTCGCCTTAATTTCATTTTGTTGTGCTTGCTTCATCTTCACCTCTTCAATTTCAACCCTAATGGAGCTCACTAAATTCCGAAGAGAACACTCTTCATCGGCCAGTTTCCATTAGCTTCTGCTCCAGAGACTTAGTTAACTCGGGATCATACAATTCCCTCGAGGCACTCAATTTCTTTTCGGCTTCCTCCTTAGCAGCCATGTGAGATTTCTTCAACATCTCTTTATCTGCTGCAATAGCCTCTTGTTCATTGTACACTTGTTGCGTAGCGAATTTCACTTGCTTGATAGCTTCCTTCATGGCCGTGATTTGTTTCGTCAGCTCCGCAACCCGTTCCGAATGCATCTTAGCTGAAAGCTGCGCTTCCGCCGCCTGTTGAAAGGCCGCCAGCTTCACTTCCAACGCAGCGTCGAAATCCTGCCTGATTTTATTCAGCTCTTGCTTCTTGGCATCGAGCTCTATAGCGACGGCAAGGTATTGCTCCCTCGCCGTCTCGAGTTCTTTGTTTCTCTCTTCGTATTCTTGGCCGTATTGCGATTTCTTGAGTTCGAGTTCACTGCCGTATTGCTTCACTGCTTCGGCCGCTTCGATTGCCGATTTCTTCGACTCGGTTACTGCTCTGAGTTTCTCGGACAATTCCTGCAATTTTTGCTTAGCGCTTTCGAGTTCACTATCTGCTTTAGCCTTTGTAGCTTCGTCACTCTCGAGCTTTTGCTTGATATTGTTGAATTCTTTCTCAGCTAGAAGAAGCTGTGTCTCCTTGTCTATAACATTCTGGCAAAGATAAATTAGGACTACACTGTAAGCAATTTAAATCTTGATGGAGTGGTTTGGTAATCACTCTAATGGTACAATTACTCTATAGGTCTCCATATTATACAATAGAGTACATTTCAGTCCCATACATTTTTAATTATGTATAATAGAAAATCATGCAAACTAGTCATCATTGTAATAAATTTAACATCATATTTTTAGCGGAATTACATGTTTATTGGATTCATTATAATTTAAAAAACTTAAAATGTTACATTTAATCCATGAAACCTAGTTGTATTAGATGCAACAATTTGAGTTTTTTAGAATATCTTATCATTTAATTAAATTTATCACATTAAATTATAAATGGTTTATTTTTTAACTATTATAAAATCATATCATTATACTAAAAAGTTGTATTAGATGCAACAATTTGAGTTTTTTAGAATATCTTATCATTTAATTAAATTTATCACATTAAATTATAAATGGTTTATTTTTTAACTATTATAAAATCATATCATTATACTAAAAAAGGGGACCAAGATGCATTTGGTGTTATAGTAAAAGGACCTGTAAAATAATTTTACCCTGCATAAACAAGAGTGGACGTTTAACGTGCGTTTTATAGTACCTCGGCAGAAATTCTAGATTTTCTGGGAGTGCGTCGTCCTCGTTCCTTGGGAACGGCAACTTCACCGAATAAACTAACGGCGGCTTTGACGGACTGAAACGGTGCCCTGGTATCGATCTCTCCTACCTCTGTCTTTGGTAAACCGGTCCTAAAGGGAAGTTGATACGTCAAAGACGGGGAAATGGAAGGCTTTGAAGATGAAGGAAGGGGACAGGATGCTGCCCAGAATGAGAGGTGGGAGACGTATGGTGTATTATTTCGGAAGACAGCCCCCCAAACTTTTCGGATTTTTAATGGTTAAAATTTACTTTTGCAAAATTCTTATAAATTGTGCAAATAAGTTGTTAAAACCAATGGATGTTACCGTCTCAAACCTTTGCTTTGACCATTTCCCTTGCAATGCCATACATTCACACTTCCCCCGCATCATCCTTGAATAATTAATTCTAGTCCTAAGGCTTTGTATGTCCAAATTCGATATATCATTAATATTCAACAAATTACAGGAATTAAATTACTTGCTATAGTTAGAAAATTTAGGTCTAATTATGAATAAAACCCCATGCGTCTAGTCTAATTAGCAAAAATCAGCATTTGAGCCATTAATATGCCACAAATGGATAAATATTAACAATTCAAATTCATTTTTTACTAACTTGTCAATTTTAGTAAATTAAGAGATCAAACTCAAGTATAAAAGGATTAATTCATAGTTTTCATAAAATAAAGGGAATAAACTCATAATTAGACCAAAATTGCAGGGCTAACGTAAGCCATCTAGTACATCCATCATGCGTCAATGTACACAAACTTGGGAAGTGCTGTCCAAGAAACAGGGGATAGGTAATATGAGGTTCAGTTCCTTGCAAACCAAAATCCAGTGCCGGCCAATATATAGGATAGCCCTTTCCCTTCAATCCGGCCCGAGTCGCTTAGGCACGGAGTGTAGCCAGTCACGCTGAGTTGTCCCTTTCATTACCAACAGCGATCCGTGCCAAAGCGTGAAATTATGGTGATCTGCTTTTCTTGAACCTCTCCAATGCAACTAATAGCTGGAAGGTTGAAGGAGTATATGCTTTTGCACCTTAGGATGCTTCTTCTTGCATCTGAACGCAATTTCCGAGGCTGAGCTTCTGGTCATCGCTATTAAACATATTCCCGGGAAGCATTAAGTAAATAAGAAAAACGTTAGCGGGCAATAGACAAGGAATTAAACAGTAGCGAGGCACCGCGTCCTAGATGTCCTTAAGCCCCAAGAATGAGCATGAATCCACTCTAATCCAAGATGTCCTTAAGCCTCAAGAATAAGCATGAATCCACTATAACTTAGCTATATTATTAATATGTGTCTCTCGGCTACGTGCATGGGCGAATGAAGAATCAGAGAGCAAAATTGTTAGTAGAAACTAAAAGGTACCACTACCAACCCTTGATCCTTTTCTTTAAGGCAAAACCTACACAAAAAGGAGCATACCACATTACTCTCCAACTGCCACTGCCAAACAAAGTAAAGCATTGGATTCCATGGAGAGAGGACTATCAAATCTTCAATTGAGTAAAATACAGGAAATTTTAAGAAAGGATCTGGTCCAAGGAACGTGAATGTAATTGAAGAAATCTAGGGCTAAACACTTGGGTCCGTTTCCAAGATCCACAATTTGGATCTTTTTAGCATTGTCGTTAGGGTTTGGCTTCGCCTTCAACATCTAACTCAGTGTAGCCTTTAAACAACAGAATCTGGTAATGTAGTACCATTTTAATGCTTACATTATGAGAAATGCATTTGTTCATTTATTTACCTTAATTAAGCCCCATTTCCCAAATCTTCAAAATTATTAGATTCATTTACCATTACTACACGGAGTTTAACCGCCATTGAGGAGGGCGCCGGGGGTGACGATGTAACCCACTATACCTAGGGACACGTGTACTGTTGGCATGTGGGGGCATATGTCCCATAATTTATTGCACCTAGAGGAGACTTAACTTCCAATTTTTTTTAAAGAAAAATATTAAATTTTGGTAAAAACTGCTACACAAGCCCCTACGCTTCAGCACGTATTGCATCTTAGTCCTGTATTTTTAAGATAAGTAAAATAATATTCGACTAAACGATCTTGAACGTTGATCCATATTGAGACCGATAAAAGAATTTTTTTGTTAAGACAATGAGACGTTATAAATTAATGAGAAGATTATAAAGAAGAAGATCAAAGCAAGGTTAGATAATAAAAATGGTGACAACCTGATTGGTGATTTATGATGAAAAATTATAATTATTATAATAAATTTTAATATTAATTTATAAAGAGAATAAAATAAATCTTAAAGTCATTCTCTTATTTGCATTCCAAAAGAAACAATATGTTAAATTCCTAAGCTTAATTTATCTACATATTAACTATTTTTTCAATGTGAAAATTGTGTTCAATATACAAACACTTCCAATACATTGTGTCTAATAGTTATTCCATAACACTCTGGCTATAAGCCTATAACGTGTTCAAAATACTATTTATGATACTAAATAATATAAAATCATTGTTTCCTTCTTTTCTCTAACGTATAAAAATCTCGTGGGTATATTGTTACATTGGTCACAAAATCATAGGGTTAATTTTAATTTGACCATTGAATAATAAATTTTATTAATTAAGTCCTTGAATTTTCAATTTGATTTTATTCAAGTAGTCGATCACTACGTTTTAACAAAATTATTTTTAACTATCGATGATGCACACTTTACAAAGATAATTGCTTAAATCTTAAACTCTTAATAAAAAAAATATTCATTTTTATCCTTGGAAATGATGGAGGTTTTATGCAATACTTTTTGTGTATTAAAAATTTACATGCACTTTATGATATAATAAGTTGAATTGTAAGTAGGCGGAAGGTGAGGTGTAGGCATAACATGATATGTTAATCAACGCCACATCACGCGGTAGGCTTTGAAAGTCAGCAATCGAAAGCTGCCTTCCACCTTCCTCAGTTGCTAATAACGACGATCTCAATATCTACTGCCAATCATCACCCTCCACGTGTGATCTTAAACATAACCCAAGTTGATTTTATATAAACCCCTTCTGTCTGAGCCTCTCGATTGCTTTGCTTTACTTGCTTCGTTTTCAAGATCAGATCAGTGAGGGAGTCCAAGCTATGGCCGAGAAGGTTTCTTCTATCCCTTTCGTTTGAATTGTTGTTTTCATCTGTGAATTTTGCTTTCGCCATGCATTCTGACAAGGGGTGATCTTTGTAGGTAACAATAATGGTGCTGAAGGTGGACCTTCAGTGCTTCAAATGCTACAAGAAGGTCAAGAAAGTGCTCTGTAAATTCCCTCGTGAGTTTCTTTTTACTTAGTTGATTGATCATTGAACTGAAGGTTACAAAAATGGTGTCTGAGTTTATGTTTTTTGTGTGTGTGTTTCTGTTATGAACAAGAGAAATAAGAGACCAGATATACGATGAAAAGGCCAACACGGTGACCATCACTGTCATATGTTGTAGCCCGGAGAAGATAAGAGACAAGATATGCTACAAAGGTGGCGGATCCATCAAGAGCATTGAGATCAAGTCGTCGGCGAAACCCAAGGAACCTGAGAAGCCTAAAGAGGCGGAAAAGCAGACCGAGAAGCCGAAAGAGGCCGAGAAGAAACCTGAGAAGCCGAAAGAGGCTGAGAAGAAACCCGAGAAGCCTAAAGAGTCGGGGGAGAAGAAGGCCGAGAAACCAAAAGAAGCCGAGAAGCCTAAAGAGGGTGGGGAGAAAAAGGTCGACAAACCAAAAGAAGCGGAGAAACCCAAAGGGGCGGCGCCGGCGCCGGCGGCGAAAGCTATGGAAGCGGCTCCTTTACCGCCGGTGGCGTATGCGATCGGTTATTCATACTTGGATGGCTATGGTGGTGCGGGGCCTAGCTATTATGGTGGACCTAGCTATTTCGGTGGACCACCTCAACAATCGTTTCAAAATTACGAAACAATTGGTAGGCCGGTCTATGATAGCTGGGGCAGCGGAGGCGGCTACTACAACGGGTACGGTTACGGCGGAGGCCGTGGCGGTGAATGTTATAGTGATGAAAACCCACAAGGGTGCTCGATCATGTAATGTAAGGAAGAACGTGTTGCTGAGCTGCATATTGTTTGAACTCGAAGATACTAATAATCTCTCTTGTTGAATATGGAGTCATTTGTGGATTTTATTTATTTTTATATTCAAGAGTTTATGGAACGGTGATGTCGGTGGGTGGTGTTTCCGAGCTTACAAAAAATGTATTTTACCATACTTTTAATAAATAATCAGATGAAGGTTCTAATTTGTCAGAGCTTTACTATTAATATATGTTAAAGGAATTTTATTAATAAAAACATTATATCAATCATATTTTTTATCAAGTCAATTATTACTTTGGATATTAAATACAAATTTAAATCCTATGTAAAGCATACTTAGCATGTGAAAATCAAATTATAAATATATATATATGCTTTTTCCCATATGAGTAGCTTCGATTTATTGTGTTTAATAAAGAAACATATTATTTAAATTTTAATTGATATCATCTTTTAATACGTCAAATTCAAGTAGTAATATAAGAAATAGTTCAAGATTTAATATATCTAATTTTAATTTTAAGAAAGATTCATTAAACAATCGTAGTGGTAAAATATAATATTATGCTCCTTATAATTAAAAATTTAGGGTTTAAACAATTACATTTATAACAGTAAACTGTTGTTAATAAAAAAACATTATGAATATATAATATTTTATAATCATTTTGAACTATTCTAAAAAAAACCTGTTTGTTGAGGAATAGAAGTATATAAGCCTTCTTACATTACGCATACTTCGTCTCTAGTGAACACTAATACATACAATTTTTAATTAAATTGTTAACTATATCGATAGAATGACTTGGGTATAAAAAAGTAGTATTTTGAGGATTTGATTAGAACGTTTTGAAATTTAGAAATCAATTTAAAATTTAGATAATAGCTTAGGGACATTAAGTGGAAATAACACATATATAGTCGCGAAAAGAAGCGAAATAAATTACACATTAAATGTATCCGAAAGGAAAAGGTCGGGCGCCTCCTAGGCCAGTCCCAAACGCCAAGAGGGATGACGTCAAATTATCAAACAAGCGGTCTCAAACACTACAAAACTAGCACTCTCATCACAGATGCACTAACAAGGTATTTGGCCGCTTGTATTTTTTAAATTTATAATTATTTTATTAATATCTAATTTTATATTTTCAAAAAAAATTATAATCTCACTCTTAATTTTTTAAATTTTACACTCCTATAAAATTATGTGTCCGTCTCATCTCTCATATTTTAAAATTTTATTAATTTTAACACCCCATAATTTTTTATTTTGCTTTAATTTAATCAGTATAAAATTATATTCAAACTAGACTTCAATGCTAGACATCCGAAAAGAACTATGAATTTCATAACCGTCATGTGCTAAACCTGTTCTCGAATTGTGCATTTTGCAAATAAACACATTAGATTCGTTGAGCCAAAGAAAAAAGTAGACAATAAAACTCAAATTTATTCAAAAAAAATTGGCAGAATTAAGGGTGTATTTAATTTCAAAAAAACAAAGATTGATTTGGCTTTCATTTTTTTTAAAACATGAAACGAGATGTGTTGATTGAAATTTTTAAATGATTTTTAAGATATATATTTCTTATTAAATAAATAATATATATTTTAATTCTCTAAAAATATTATATAAAATGAAAAAATCTAAAATATAATATTTAATATAATAAATGATCCCAAGCTCAAATCAATATAAATAAAAATATATTATTTTCCAATAATTATTAAGTATCAAATCTTTGATCATAGGCCAAATCATATATATGAAAATTTTTAATTGAACATGTTTTTTATTCTCATTATTGGAAAATTTCTTTTATTTTATTTTTTAAACATAACTTTCAGATTTTATTTTTACTAACTTTCAGATTTTATTTTTACTACTTTACCAGCAAAAATTTAATTGCTTTAGTCTGTATTCCACACCGCCCCATGTATATAGAGGTACAATTCCAAACCAACAATTATAGCAAGATAATCTTTACTTTAGTTGCATGCATGTGACGACGATGCATTGACAACCAGAACCACTTTTAACAAACCAACTAAGCAAATATTATCTTAGACCAAACAACACAATAAGTGGGTCCGTAGGATGTATGACCTCTAAACAACACATTAAATTAATTGATAAAATAGCTGGATAAAAGTACCCCACTAAAATATACTTAGACCAAACAATAGAAGGAATAATTAATCATCACTTTCATATATGAACAAATAAAAGGCTGCCATTGTCGGTGGTCAGCTCAGCTGTTTAGGTTACCGTAAATAACAAGCTATTGGCTTAGTAAATCTAAGGCGATTTGATTCTTGTTTTTAGGAAAACGAGGTACAACTTAAAATGACCGAATCAGCCTATGTTAAATCGGGTTAATTAGGTCAGTTAAGCCTATATTGATCGATCAGTTTGACTAGTTAAAACCGTCCTACTTATTATACTAGATTAACAAGAGTTTATTGGTTGTGTTTTTAAGGTCTTACTTCCCTAATAGGGCAGGGGATGAAATCAACAATTACCATGACGGGTGTTAGGTGCCATCACTATCAAACTAGGGAATCAAATAACAAATCCAGATTAGGGGCCATTTTCTCAATGTCATCAACCTCAACAAACTATTCTTAAGTGGGAAGATACATGCACCAACAAACAAAAAAAGGGGGAAGATATATATGGAATTTCATACACCAAACCACTGCGATTTCAATCATCACCAGCATTCCATCCCATTGCTATTTTACCACAAAAGCTAAACCTAAGCCATCACTATGTACTTCTGTATTTACTTCTGATACAAAACATCACCTTTTGACCAAATTTCTCCATTTGTCTTTGAGATCAATCTGATAAATAATTAGGAACATATATTATAAATTATCCATAAAAAGGCAAGAATTTAGTTTTAAAAATAAAAGGTTATAAAGCTTGTGAAATACTTACCGCAGATCTATTTCTAAATATTTCTTTATTAGTTTCTAAAATATATTTCCATTGGTTTCCATATCTGCATTATGAAAATATTTGTAGTGAGAAAGCAGAAACCAAGGGCTATAAACTATCAAAAAGTATATCCAGTCTCATATTTGCTAAACTAGTAACAACTACTGGAGAAAAAACCTAAAGAAGATCTAATATGCTCACAAGATTATACACCAAAATTTTATAAGTTAATCACGTACCTACGTACACCCTCCGTCAAAGCCTTTTCTTCCTCGTCAGTCCATCTATTAACTTTTCTCTTTCTCTCCCACATCTTGGGCACGTTAATGTTTAAGGGAGGCACATGCTTTGTTCTGGGACTTGGTAAAGTACATTCGTTCAAACAGCTATCCTTCCCTTCGGAAGAGCCATCAACTGAATCCTCCCACTACAACAATACCCAAAACATAATAGAATTTACTGAACAAATAGGAATTTAACTTAAAGAATGCAATTTAACAAAAAAGCAAAACAATTAAGCATGCAACATAATGCAACACATGATACTAAATATAAAGGAACTGCCTCTCCATTAAGCTAGTCCTACACACTTTGTTGGGCATAATGAAAGCTTCTTCCTGATCTTGAGAAGGTTCTGCAGTATGATCAACGGATGGAGCAGGAGCACTCCCATCCATCTTGTCAATCTCTTTTCTAACAGCCTCATCAGGTGCCCTGTGTTCCTTGTTTCCGTTGCCGCCATTACTCACCATTAAGCTGGTCCTAGGCACTTTCTTGGGTCTATTGAAAGCTTCCTCCCGAGCTTGAGAAGGTTCTGCAGTATGATCATTAGGTGCCCTGTGTTCCTTGTTTCCATTGCCTTTAGAGCCTTCAGAAGGGTGCCTTTTTGCTGCTGCCACGTATGTTACATTTCTTTCTGCAATTTCCAAGGCTTTCGGGAGAGGATCTTCTACTTTATCTAGCATGTCAACAGTGCTCAACTTAAGCAAGTAAAAACAATACGAGGCAATTTACACACTGAAATGAAAAATTCATTCAAACATGCATTCTTAAACCAACAAAATAGAAGCTTTAGTACAAAAACTTAATCATACATAGCATTACATAATCATAGGAAAACAAAACTAACAGTTTTACTAGAGAAGACCGAAAAGAGGAGAAATCTACATTTTCCTTTATCAATGCAAAGATTAGTAGGATCACCCATGTCCTTATGGGAGTCTTCCACAATGCCTGCAGCATGCAAATTATTAGTTGCCGTGTCAGAGGCAACTGTTTCCACAACATCCAATGCTTTAGAGAGGGAATCGGTTACTTCATCAACCAATGCAGATTGGGAACCATTTTTTCTGCAAGGCCAATCCTCCTCCATGCAAGTAATGACAATACCTTTATGTTGCCTGCAGGAAGAATGTAGCTTATGTTTTGTGTGAGAATTTGCCCTTAGGATCTCTGCAGACAAGGTAATTAGAACAAATCATGGCCAATAATACCATAACTAAAATTACTTGGGCAAGTATGACAAGATTAGAGAAAATGTACACACAGAAATGAGACCATTCATTCACACACATTCTTAAACCAAGAGAATAAAAGCTTCTTTAAAGAAAATTTATCATACATTGGCATTACAAGATCTCTTGAAAACAAAGCAATACTTCTACTAGAGAAAAAAAATCCTGTTGGAAAATTCACCTTCATATTCCCTACATAACCGAGGTAGCTAGATCAAACAAAGTCCAAGATTACCATTACTATAGTTAACTAGGTACGTATAACAATATGAGGAAAAATTTAACAGAGAATTGAGTTAGATTCATTTTACATACATTTTTATACTGCAAATTACTCATACATAGCATAGGATAATCGCCTGTAAACAAAATAAGACTACATAGAATAAAATTAAAAAAGAAGAGAAGAAAATCATACTGTTCATTTTCTTCTTGCAAAAATGAGGACCTGAAAGAACATGATCAGAAGCAGAGGCGACATTATCCACTGTGGGAAGCAAAATTTACACCAGGAATCGTGTTAGATTCATTCTACAAACATTCTTAGACCATCATATTGTACTGAAAATTAATCATGCAAAACATTGCATAATGTTCCTAAAACACTTTTACTTGGAATAAAATGAAAAAACAAGAGAAAAGAAGCTTACCATTCCCTTTGTCAGTATTACGGTGAGGACTCAAAGGTAGTTCAGCACAAGTATGGACAACATTATCCTCTGTGAGAAGCCAAATTTAAAAATTGAATTGAGTTAGATTCATTCTACATACATTCTTAGACAAAGTACTGCAAATTTATCATGAATAGCATATCATAATCTCCTGAAAACTAAATTAAGACTTTTACTTGGAATAACATGGAAAAGAAGAGAGAAGTGAAACCTACCATTCCCTTCATTAGTGAAAGGATGAGGACTCAAAGGGACATGAGCAGAAGTAGAGACAGCACTATCCACTGTAGGAGGCAAAATTTACACAGAATTGGGTTCAATTCTTTCTAAATGCATTCTTAGACAAACATCTTGTGCTGTGAATTAATCATGCATAACATAGCATAATCTCCAGAAAACTAAACCAAGACTTTTACTTGGAATAAGTGAAAAACAGGATGAGAAGAGAAGCCTACCATTCCCTTGGTTGGTGCTACGATGAGGACACAACGGGACATGAGCAGAAGCAGAGACTGCATTATCCACTGTGGAACACAAAATTTACACAAAGAATTGAGAAAGATAAGTTCTACATCCATTCTTAGACCAAAATATTGTACTGCAAATTAATCACATTGCATAATAATCTCCTAAAACAAATTACATCTTCTACTTGTACGAAAAAGAAAAGCAGAAAAGAACAATGAAACCTAGAAATCCCTTTGTCTGTGCAACAAGGAAACCCCGAAGGGACTTGAGCAGGAGCAAAGACTGCATTATTCACTTTTGGATGCAAAAATTTACAGAGAATTGAATTACATTCACTTACATTCTTACACCAACAAAATGTACTGCAAATTATTCATACATGGTACCACATAATCTCCTGAAAACAAAATTAAGACTTTTGCTTGCAATAAAATTAAAAAAAAAAAGAGAAGCCAACCATTCCCTTCATCACTGTAATGACGACAACTCAATGGGTCATGAGCAGAAGAGACAGCATTTCCTACTGCAGAAGACAACATTACACAGAGATAGAAAGATTCATTCTACATACATCCTTAGACCAACATATTAAACTACAAATTAATCATTCATAGCATAGCATAACCTACTACAACCAAATTAAGACTCTTACATGGAATAAAAGAAGGAAAGAGAAGAGAGGAGAAGCCTACCATTCCCTTCGTCAGTGAAAGGATGAGGACACGAAGGGACTTGAGCAGGAGCAGAGACAAAATCATCCACTGTGGGAGGCAAAATTTACACAGAATTGAATTAGATTCATTCAACATGGATTCTTAGAGACTTAGACCAGCATATTGTACTGCAAATTAATCATACAGGCATTGCATGATCTCCCGAAAACAAAAATTAAAATTAGTAATATATGAAGAAAAAACAGAGTAGAGAAGCCTACTGTTACCTTTGACAGTGCTATGATGATGATTCAAAGGGACTTGAGCAAAAGCAGAGACAATTTTACCTGCTGTGGGAAGCAAGAAAAATTTACACAGAATTGAGCTAAATTCACTCCACAAATTCTTTGACCAACATAGTGACACACCATACCGCAAATTAATCGTACATAGCATAGCATAACAGAAAAAAAATAATACTTGGAATAAAATGAAAATGAAAAGAAGAGAAGCCTACCATTCCCTTTGTCAGTGCTATTATTAGGACTCAAGGGGGCTTGAACAGAAGCAATGACAACATTGTCTACTGTGGGAGGAAAATTGAGTTAGATTCATTCTACATACATTCTTAGAACAACATGCTATACAACAAATAAATCATACAAGGAAAAACATTATAAAAAAATCAAGATAGTTGCTTGAATTAAAAAAACAGAGAAGACAAGAGGAACCTACTGTTTCCCTTGTCAGTGCAATGATGACTCGAAGTGACTTCAGCAGAAGCAGTGACAAAATCATCCACTGTGGGAGGCCAAATTTACAGAGATTTGAGTTAGATTCATTATACATTCCTATAAAACATAATATAATGACTACTGTTCACTTCATCATTGCTACGATGTGGACTCGAAGGGATTTGAGCGAGAGCAGTGACAACATTATCCACTGGGAAGAAATTAACACAGAGAAATCATTTAAGATTCATTCTACTTATATTCTTATAACAAAATATTATACTGCAAAAACAATTTATATACATGATAGCATAATAAAACATTAAAACTTACTTGGACTAAAATCAAAAGAAGAGAAGAGAAATCTACCGTTCCCATCAGCAGGAGTATAAGCAGGAGCATAGACAACATCATCAGCAGTGGGATTTATTGAACCGAAGACCTCCCTCAAATAAACCCGAATACGACGCATCGCTTCGTCGAGAGTATTAATACGTACCAGCCTCTTAGAGATCTCTCGATCCCATAGTGCCGCTTCGACTTCCTTTCTCCAATTAGCTAACCCAGGAGAAAGAAGGCCGGAGGAACCCGACACCTCCAAATCCTTAATTAACTCCCCCCAAATTCTTCTAACACCGTCGTAGTAGTCGTCCCACGAGATGTGTAACCACAAAAGAGTGCGGTGTACGGCGACGGCGGAAAAGGCTTCCCGCAAGGCGTCGGAGGGGGGAACGCCTCGCCGGCGGTCGAGTTTCTCAATGATGATCAAAGATTCAAGAATCCCGTCTGGGACAGAGAAATTCGCCGTCCGGTTTCGAATAGATAGGAGCGTCGAGACTTTAGAATGAAGACAAAATGTATTATAGTTGCCGTCGTCACCGACATTGTTTCCGTTTGTATGAGTGTGGTATTGCTTGAGGATGCGTAAAACACAAGGATCCGGCTCTTTAGCAAGCAACAAATTCTCCATTTTTTTCAACTGATTCCAACCTCTAATTCGAAATTCAAGCCCTAATATTTAATAAAATATAAAAACATTTGAGCCTTGTGTTAATAAATTGATTTGATTTAGATAGTCTTGTCAATGAAAAAATAGCCCGCTAAGCCCTAGAGCCCAGGCCTGGATGAGTACGTCAGCAAATGCAAATCCTCCCGCGCTTTCTCACGCCTAAAAAAATATCTATCTTTTGAATTTAGATTTGGAAAGTGACTTAGGCCAGCACGCTGCGTTCACCGTATTCAAAATTTGAAATATTTCTCGTATAATTCTAGTCATAGTTCCTTTACTATGTTGGAATTTTAATTTCAACCTTTTTAGTTTGATATTGGATAATTCAATATGTTTTTTAATGGTATGAGCAGGTCAACAGTGACAGTAGTGTTAATTATTGTTGTTAGATTATTAATAATATCAATTGTTTCAATAATAGTGTTACTAATGTCGATAAATTGTAATAGAAATCCACATCATCACTTTAGTAATTATTAATACATGAGATTTGAATTTTAATATTGTAAATAAAGTAAACTTTGTTAGGACTGTCACTCTTATAATAGATGCTTGTAGTATTTAATTTACATTAATCTATTAATAGATTAAATATCGATAATTAAATAAAAATAAAAACCTATGTCATGTCAAATTAAACCGAAGGATTAAATTATTAATTTTAGCGTATGAGAGGGACTAAAACAATAACTAGACTACTTTGAAAACGTTTTTCATTTTGGAGAACATACAAGGTTCTTTCATCTTCAACTCATAAAATTGTTCTTAAAGCCTTAAATCAGCATAACTTCCGACCTCCCTTGCTCCCGTAAATGGCGACGCGTTACAGGTCGTACGATTCACGCTCCTCCACATCTTCTCACTTCTCCGATCCCTCCTCATCCATACACCTCAACAGCTCCGCTTCTTCGCGGAGGCCAAACTCCTCCTCTTCCTCCTCTCGAGCGGTCGTGAAATCGAAGCCGTTGGATGCAGCAGCTCAAGGCAGCTGCGGAAAGATCCAGGCGGCGGACCTCCACTTGACCGGCTTGATGAAGAAGTTTATGGACAAGAAATCGGCAAATAAGACGACGGGACAGCTGGTCATTCCATCGGATGTTATAGCTGAGGATCTAAAGAAGACAGCGAGGAAAGGTGCCGCTTTCACGGCGCTGCAGAGGAAGCTGTTTGGTAAAGGATCTTCAAACAAGGAAAACAAAAAGGAGGTGAAAGCCTTGACGGAGGTTAAAGGGAATACAAGGACGCTGGCCATGGTTTTAAGAAGTGAGAGGGAGCTCTTGAGTGCTAACAAGGAGCTGGAGATGGAGGTTTCTGAGCTGAAGCTTCTGCTTCAAGACAAGAACAGAGAGGTAAGCTAAAATTTCACTCTCCTGCTATTTTAAAATTAGTTGTCGCGATCTTAATCAGTGAACCTTAACGATTAGTAAACAATTTTGGTTAGTGAACATTAACATCTAATAAGACTAAACAATCCTGATTAGTGGACATTACGCCAAAAGAAAAGTATCTGTTTAAATTCCAAGGGAATTTGCAATTGTTTATGAATGCCATAGATATCAATGAAGATGGTATTTGCAGGTGGAGAAGCTGAAAGATTTGTGCTTGAAACAGAGAGAAGAGATTAAGTCATTGAAGAGTGCAATATTATTTCCAGATGCCATGAATTCTCAGCTTCAACACCTAGTTGAAAAGCAAGGCTCTGAGCTGACACAAGCCAAGCAACTAATCCCTACTCTCCAAAGGCAGGTCACTTCTCTCACAGGCCAACTCCAATGCCTTGCCGAGGATCTTGCTCAGGTAATCCACACAAACAAACACTACTTTCGAAGCATTTGGTATCTAATTATATAAATTATAGACCGATGTTTGAAGTTAATGATGCTATAATTGAAACTTATTCCATTTGTAACCAAGAGTTGTTAAATAAGTGAGCCTGTTAATACCTTAGCTCCAATTTGGAATGTTGCAATCCCATGGCATATTGTTTGCATCAAATATTGCCCCGGATAAAAGTCTTAAACTTAATCCTACTCCATGCAAGAAATGCAATGCATGCGGTATTATCTGCTAGCTTAATATGCTTCATGCATGCATGGTATGAACTATGAAAAGTATTCTTGTTATTATGATATGCTTGAACAGGTGAAGGCAGAAAAATATTCTTCCAAGGCATGTCGTCAGCAGCATGGCAGCTATACCTGGTCACCCAGATATGATGGAGATGAACCTTCTGATTCCTTGGTAAGATTTTATATACTATTTCCCATGTAATTACATACACATTAATAATATTACTTGAACATAGGTATAGATTATTTTCTTTTCCACTCTAGTCTTGACAGCTTGGAATATTGGAAATTTTTTGACCCCAAGTCTGGAGGTCATTTGCTCTGATACATTTCTTCTACCTGCAATAACATCATGAACAACATTTCAGGAATTCAGTTCTTGCGAACCAACAACTCTTGGTAGTCCAGATGACTTGTCCCTCGAAGATTTAAATCCCTGTTTAACACCTTATTATGCCAAGACAAAATCCAAGGTAGATGACTGTCCCAAAATTATTAATGTTCGTCTCCATAACGAGTAGTACTTGTAGAGATGCCTCTAGTAATAGTTGCTTTAATGAACATCATGCAGGAATTCGATGAGATTCGATACGACTCGCCAGATAACAAAACCTTATCTGATGAAAAACGACAAGCATTCAATGAGCTTGTATTTGGTTGTAGTAAGTAGTAACAAGAAGCTATGCAAGAGTTCAGATCGTTACGGAAATTCTAATAAAGGAAGCTCCATGGCCTGGACCAACCGCAGATCAAACGAAAGCAGAGGATCATACTGAAAGCACATGCCATCATCATAAATCTCTCTTAATTGCTTGGTATGGTATTACTCAGCTAAGCATTAGTTTTATTTGTTTCGTATATTTTCACCTTTCCTCATTTTTGGCGAATTATGGATCGATGTGTTTGGTTTGAGTCAAGCATGTTAGCTCCAGGCGTTAAATTGTACTAATGCTTTAGGCGCACGAATGATTAAGAGAAAATCCTTAAATTCAGATATTATATACTCTTGCAAGATTAAGAGTGGCGATGTATCGCATGCAAGTTTGAGAATGATTTATTCAAATCAATGTAGTAAACTGTGGTCTATCGTTTTGCCATGCAAGAAGGAAACTTGGGTGGCCTAGCTTTACGTGCGTATGACAGTTTATAGCTATATATAGGATAGATGGTGGCGACATGGTTTGATTAATACGTAAATCACAGCAAAACAAAAGAGATACACTGACATTCTAAATATATATTATATAATATCATTTGCTTTTCTCTCTTCCTATTTCAAAGCCCCCTTCACCTTCACTCCGTTTACATTCTGTTTGCTACTCCATGTATCAGCCACTGTAAGATTACCATGAACAAGTCGAAAAAATGTTTAACAATTTACAGCAGTGCATAAAGAAATGAACGATGCATGGAAAAAGTTATCTGGGGCTTGTGCCAGTTTGAAACTTGAGGCTGAGCCTACTAGATCTTAGCAATAGGGTTTATATTTTACGAAGCATTAGGACGAACAACACCCACCCTTTTGAGCTGTATTAGTTGCCTGATTCTCTTCCAATGGTAGAACCAGAGTCTTCCCGTTAAATGAAGATGAGTCCGGCTTCTTCAGCTCCTTAGACATCATAACTTTCTTGCTCAATATGTTGTAGATCTCTTTTACAACTGTCTGAAAGGCAGATACTACATTGGAGGAATCAAGGGCATAAGTCTCCATGAAAAACAAACCCTGTGCCTCCGCCAAGGCCTTTCCTTCAGCTGTGGATACTTCCCTGGCATCTCTAAGATCAGACTTGTTGCCTACTAAAATGGTGACTACATTCATCTCCGAATGAGCTTTTCAAAATGATAAACCACACAAGTTAATCCTTAGCCATCAAGACCTAAACTGACAATTCTATGACATTACCAAGAAGGGCAAGTAAAAGGAAAAACTTCCTGTAAAAGACGCCATAATGTTCTAAAAAGCCCCTTCGAGGTCTGAAAACAGGATATAACAAGCCCATTTTGAACTTTGAGAGAATTTTGATAAATCTTAGAAATGTAATTCATATTGATAAGGTTTATACATGGATAGTAAGCATGTGTAACCAAGAAAACACAAGTTCATTATGGTTCTTACTCTGAAGTTCATTTAGCCATCTGCCGATGCTATCAAAAGTCTGCCGTCTGCTGGTGTCGTAAACAAGGAGAGCTCCGACTGCACCCCCGGTAATATGCAGATATAACAGCCCTAAAGCGCTCTTGACCAGCTGTATCCCAGATCTGTGCCTTGACTTCCTTCCCATTTACATCCACCTTCTGGGTTTGAAACTCCACTCCTATGGTTGACTTCGAATTAGGGTAGAACTCATCCCTCGTGAATCTTGCAAGTAAATTTGACTTCCCAACAGCTGAATCACCAACCAATACAATCTTGAAAAGGTACTCATTAGTTTTCTCTTCCTCCGAGACAAAAGCCATTTTCCAACCTTTCGAAGATTGTCACTCTATAGAACCATATCAATAATGAATAGCAATCAGGTTCTTTTCTGGGACTAAAATTATCTTCTAGGAAACACCAACCTTTTCCTATTCAACAACAAATGTGGGTTTAGAGAATAAAGTAACAAAAGCAGCTGGAAAAGGAAACTTGAAAGGATGGGAAGGTATAACAAGTACAAAATGCCATTTGGCAATTGCTTATATGCAGAATTTGAGAAAATACCTATCTTCTGAAGCAAACATTGTATCAAATGAATAAAAAACGACTATATTCTACTCAAACTCTCTGCATCCAGCAGCGTAGGCAGATCTATCCTGAACACTTTTTAAGTGTTAAGTTCACTGCAGTGACAACAAAAACAAAAGGGAAACACTAAAACCATCAACAAATACTGCAACTCACCCAAACACTAAGAAGAGCATACAGCATCCAGCTGAAAGATTCATGATAAGTAAATTTTTCATCTGAACTTAAAATGTAAAAAAGGAAACTGGTTTGATGCAACAAGTGTTGTGCTACTAAGTAAGGTCTTACACATATAATCCCACAAAGGCAAGGAACACTGCCTTGATCCCTCCAATGAACTTGCTTCCACCTTTCCTGGCACATGCAATCCCACTTAAGCACCCTCAATGACTAGGATGTTTAAAGCACAAAACAAGAACATATGATAAATGCCAGATTATTTGTGGAAATCACATTTTAACAGCAAGTTGTTACTTTAGAGGATACTGAAAAGAACCCAATAAATGCAACATTACAAGTCTCAAACAAGAGCCAATACAAAATGTGACAAATAGACTGGAACTAAAAGCACATAACATATACATCCCAAATAGTAGTGCTTCTAAGATTCCTATGCTTCCACTTTGCCTCTTAACCAGTTAAACAGAATTTTGGGTTTTGTATAAACTTTGAACATTAAAGGGAAAAAATGACCTTAAATAACAAAAACTAGAGGCTGGAATCGGAAAGATAAGATTTCTTCATATTCTTTGAACAAAATTTCTATAGCTACAAAGATCTTCAAGAAACCAACCATGCATTATCACCTACATCCGTAATATAAGATGCTTGATACTATTGCAACAAGAATGAACTTATGCATTGCACTATACAAGATAAATATTATAGATCAATAGGACACGATTCACAAACAAGAAACAACATAAACTTTATTTATAAATGAAGCCTTGTACTTTCAGTTTTAAAACCGGGGCTCCATCAATAAGGTTATTTGTCTTATTCCTTGTCCTAATTATTAGAGACACTGAAAAGCCAGTCTTTAAAAGTTATTTATTTCTTCACAGGAAAGTTCATCAAAAGAGTTAAGATTGCAGATTCCAAAACTTTACCACTAAGTAGGCAGCTCATAAACCCTTCACTGAAACAAAGATTGGGAAAAGTAATAATTCTGACCGCAACAACCAAAGAGTAGGGAATTAAGATATGTTCTTGATCATAGAGTAAGTGCACGGTGTATAATGAACAAACGAGATCAAATTACGAAATATCTAGACTCAGTTTTCCATAAAAGAGATGTCATTAAAAACACAAATCATCAAGCAAACTACTACCAAAATTTATAATTTGCAGTTGAGCTAGGCAAGTTTACCTTATAGCACCAAGTCTCGTATGGCGAGAGGTTACAACGTCCGAAATCAACCTTTTTTATTTCAAAATTTAAAAGTTATAGTCAGTTTAAAAAACAAAACTTTACGCATTTGCTAGTCGAAACGATATGTAATAAAATTCCTATACTGAATCACTAAAACTCGAAGCTATTAACAAAACAAATATTAGCAAAAACAGACAAACAACTGATGCAACAAAAAAGAAAGCGATTGAGAATCGGCATTTACAAATGATCCAGAAACAAGTGAAATGAAACACTAACTAGTAATGAGAGCGACAAATCAAAGCCATTACAAACGCACTTATAATAAAACAACCAAAATAATAAACAAACAAAAGATTAAAGAAATAGATTGCGTTTTCATTGCACTCACCAACTGTATGAAGAATTGTGAGGCTGAAAGCAGAGAAGCCTTTGTTTTTTCTGCGAACGAAGATGATAAAGCTAAAATGGTAAGCGTCAATAATGGATCTGACGTGAAAAAATGCAATGATTCGTAACGGCGAATGTACTGATAGAACAACAAATCCAAAGGAATTTAATGAATGTTTGTGTGAATGAATGAAGAAACAGAATAATAAGGGTTAAAGGCAATTGCGAGGAGGCGAAGGGAGGAGGAAGCTCAGGCTTCAGGCTCTGGTTGAGTAGCGACTAGCGAGTCGGAGGCCAGAGCCAGCCAGATTTTAGCAGAATTGCCTCCCCATATAATTTCCTGGGCACATTTTTGGGCCTATCTTCTCTGGACACAAATTTATTAGGGTAAAGTACCCCAAGGTCACTTAAAGATACTCAAATTATCGGTTTGTTCACTGAATATAAAATGTTAATAAATTTATTAAATTATTGTAAAATAATCATTATATTTTATCGAATTGTTATAAAATATTTATTAAATTTTCACACTTATTATAACGTTGTAGGATAATAATGATCATTTGATAAAAAATAATAAATTAAACTATTGTTTTGTAATTTTTAAAAATTTAATGATCAAAATAATAATTTAAATATAGTTTAATGACCTCTAATATATTTGATAAAAAACTGTTGAAAAAACTCATTTCTCAAATTAAATTAGACTAAAATTAACTTCAATCTTAATCAAAACTCTTATAACTATCAAAAGCACATAAATTCTGAAAACTGGAAAATGAAATATGTAGAGAGAGAGAAGAAAATGTATTAATTTCAATGATCTGCACAAACAATGGTTAAAATTGTTGCGAGAAACCCTCAGAGCATAACAACCAAAGAAATTGTTGCCAGGCAACTATTCTCTCTTTATCTAAAAATAATAATTATAGTAAACAATTTCTTTTTCCAATTTCTTTTCTTTGGGTGTGGGGTATTTATAATAAAAAAGAATTATATTAACAAAGAATATAAGGGAAATAACCTGCCATACATGCATTATATTACTTGTATATCTTGCAAAATATTGAATAAATACAATTATACTAGCCTTTAATTAATGATAAAATTACAATGTATACCGAAAAAGGTATAAAATTAGCCTAATGTGGCGGACTTTGGGCTGGAAAGGTATTTAATCCCCACATGATTTGTTGACTTCATTTCTATTTTTATTTCGAGTAAATTATCTTATTGATCATTAAATTATAAGATTATTCTTTCAATTTTGAATAAAAGTATTTATCCAATGGGTCACTAAACTTTCAGTTCGTATAAAAATATATCTTATTAACAGTCGACGACTTATTTAAAATCAAATTGAAAAAAAGGTTGTTCGATGGATCTCATAATTTAGAGACTAATAATACAGTTTACCCTTATCTTTATTGTATGTGTTTTAAGTCCGGTTAAATTCTATGGTTAGTACTTGTACTAGTTACAAGGCATGGATTTGGCACATGTACTTTAATTTGATCAATTTCAGTCCTTACACTTTTAAAAAAATGAAAAATCATTACTAGTGTATTACATAGGGATTAATGGCATAATGTAATTTAATTGAATTCACAACAACTATTTGAATTAGGACCAAAATTTCAAAATCTAAAAAGCACATAGATTATAAATAATCAAATTAAAATATAGTGACTAAATTCACAGTCGATGTATAGTACAAGTACCGCAAATTTGATTATATATACCATCAAACATAATTGATGTCAACTAAACTTGGTATAAAACTAGTTTATTAAGTCTTAAACTCGTTTGACATTTGTTGAAAACTAATTTGTTTATAAATTGGTTAGTCAGCTCGGGCTAGATTCGAATAAAAACAATTTAGTCAGTAGATCTGTTAGACCCGAATAAAAATTTAAATAATTTTGAATATGTAGTTTATTCAAATTTATTTATAAAACTGTATAAATAAAATATTTTTATATATTTTATTATTTAAAAATAAAAATTATAATTTGAACATGGTCGAGCTCAAGCGTTAAAATTTTTCGATAATAAATTTATTTTAAGATATTTGTTTAGATAAAATTGATAGTGATATGGATGGACGTAAAATTTTATACTAGGTGGCGAATTTCTAAAATGTATTGTGTTAGATGTATAATAAACACAATAAATTATAAAACAAACTCCATATCCAAGTAAATATAAAATTTTATTCTCAAACCATTGTAGTACCAAATATTAAGAGGGAGAAAGATACAAAAACTTAATCATATATGTTTACTAATCAAATTAACTCTAAATAGGTATAAAGACGATAAGTTTCTTGAAATCCTATTGTACTTGCTCCCACACGACCCTTCGGTGTTCATTGGTCATGGTTCCATCGTTAGCCTTCAAAAGTAGTTGATAAGTCATCCCTGAAGTCACCTGAGTATCGCCACTCACTACCCACGCCAACTTTAAGTTTGCCTTGGACTGCAGTTATACTCATCGACTGCAAACTCATCATAGGTCATTGAGGTTCTTTATGGATGTCCATCCTCCGACATCTAAAACTCTCAGGGCTTCAGAGACAACCAAAGGAACAAAAAGAAGAGGTAACAAAAGAATAAGAGAACAATGAAACTGTTGCGTGACGAAAATAATTATGATGAATATTTTTTTTCCAAATTATTTTCTTTGGGTGTCGGGGTTTTATAATAAAAAAATTATATTAAGAAAGAATATAAGGAAAATAACCTGCCATACATGCATTATATTCTTTGTATGCCTTGCCAAATGTTGAAGAAATACTATTATACTAACCATTAATTATAAATAAAATTATAATATAAATCGGATTTGGTATAAAATTAGCCTAATATGGCAGGCTTCTGGGCTGGAAAGGTAATTTAATACCCATAGAATTTGCTTACTTGGTTTCCATTTTTATTTTATGAGTAAACTATTCAATCAATCATTTAATTATAAGGTTAATAATATTTTGTAATTCTTAAAACTTTAATGATTAAAATGATCATTTCAATGCAGTTAAATGATTTTTGGTGTACTTTATCCATTATTTTTCTCTGTTTATTCCATAAACTATCATTTTATCTCTGTTTTTTTTAAAAGAAAAAACAGTAAATAAGAATGTGACACATTATTGGACACTAATAATTATTAGGGTAAAATAAAACAAAAATGATAGTTTGAGGGATAAATCCAGGGGGGAAATTATGGTGCAAAATGAAAAACCAAATATTCTTCAGAGGCTAAGTAAACAATAAAGCATACATATATTAAGCAAACAACACCGTATATCCCACTTTCTCTTGCATTTGAAGCTAATCAACTCCTCCTTTTGTCCCTAAAACATAAGCACCTGCCAATTAAAAAACAATCACAAAATTGTTTTGCAGCTAATCAAACAAAGTCGAATTGAAATACAGGAACTAAATTTTAAATTTGAAATAAAATAGGGACCAAAACCATAATATTCGACATTCATAATCAACCTCAGAAATGGATTAATGGCAAGGAAAAATATGCTAGTTTACCTAGGGTAGGCATTAGCATGGATAAAATTGCAGTCCCTACAATCTTAAGCAACAATCCGGTCTTCATCATGTCAAAGATATCAATATGCCCTGTGTTGAATCCAATTATATTTGGTGGCGTCCCAGTCGGAAGCATGAAAGCCAATTGTGACCCAATGGCTCCCGGAACCATAAGCACCAGCGGGTGCACGTTCATGGTCCTTGCCATTTGACCCAACAACGGAACCATAAGAGTCGCCGCCGCATCATTTGACGTTATGAACTCGGTAATCACTGCACAAATCAGACACACGGTGGGGGCGATAATGAGATACGGGACGTGTTCCAGGAAATACAGGGTTTTGGATAACACGTCGGCGAGTCCGCTAGATTGCATGCCGTCAGCTAGAGCAAAACCGGCACCTAGTAACAATATTATGTTCCATGGTAGCTTCTTGCATTCGTTCCAGTCCATCAGTTTCTCTCCTTTTTGCTTCCCGTTTGGGATTATGAACAAAAGGGTAGCCACCATTACCTGCATGCATGGTTTGAAAAAGAAAAAAAGATTATTCTCAGTGATATTCAAGTACCTAATTTATCTAATAATTAAACTTGTAAGGACCTAAATTAAATTAGACCAAAAAATTTAAGCTTATGCTTCTTTAAGTAAAACATTGAGTTCGAGTCTTGTGAATAGAGGAAATAGCACTGGAAGAAGTTTACCCTTGTTTAGGGGTTAATCTAATTCAATTTTGAAAATACTCGGACTCGAACTGGAAGAAAGATTATTGGATCAAATATGATTTGTATAGTTAATTTTATTACTCACACTGACAGTTCCATCGCCTGCACGGCCATGGAAGAGAGCTCCCCATCCTGGAATGTCTGTTGTTATGCTTCTGGTCATCCACAAAGCTATCATCAACTGCATTTTACCTTTGTTTTAATAATGATTTCAAAGACAAATCACGAATGATCAGAGAAACCAAAAGTTTTCAAGGGCCAACCCCAAAGACAGCTAAAACCATCTTCTCAGCAAATGCCATCGGACCTGTTCAGTGTTCACACCAAATATAAAACTTGAAAAAAGAATATCGATTTTGAAACGATGGATTAAAATCTATTCATATATTTTTAATGTATATTGTTACCATAAAATATGCCATAAATTAAGTGACTAATTATATCATAACATAAGGTATTAGAAGTGTCATAAAAATAAAAATGTATATATTATTAATGTTATATTTATAATTCGACGAGAGATAAAGTTATAAGTATAGATAATAATTGATTATTAAATCCGTTATATAAAGGGGTTATGGTCCCAAAAAATAGATCATCTCGTATTTTCTATCATCATTGAGTTTATACTTAAGAGAATTATAGTTTCTTGTAAGATTACAACTAAATAAAGATTCAAGAATTTCAATCTATAGATTAATTAATGTATGTTTCCGCAAATCTGGTTTATTTTATTATTGATTGTTTGGTATGATTAGATTTTGTTAGTTTTCATATTTATTATGGTTAGGTTATAACACGAAATAGATCCCCAAAAGTTTTTTTTTTTTTGTCATTTTTAGGGACGTATGATGCAATTCAACCGATGAATTGGTAAAAGGAAAGCAGCTTACCCAGCATCTCCAACTCTCTGTTGAGGTGGGATTTGTCCATGCAGCCAGCAAGGGCTATGGTAGACCCCTTAGACAAATACAACAAACAAAGAATGGCCCACAATGCAAAGAAAATCAACAAAGCCAAGGGGAAACCGAAAAGGAACCACGTATTGAAACCGATAGGCTGAGCTTCGGGGAACTCATTCTTCCAGATGGCCACCAATATCATGTTAACACCTGTACCCGTGAGGGTGCTCATTCCTCCTATGGGAGCGGCATACGTCACGCCCAGAACCACCGCCTTACAGAATTTGCCGCCGGCAAGGTCAGGGGTGGACAGACTGGCGGGGAGGCGCTGTAGGATCCCGGTGGCCACCGGCATCATCATCACCGCAGACGCCACATTGTGCATCCACATACTGACAAACGCCGTGGTGGCACAGATGCCGAGTAAGAGGAGTGGTGGGTTCACTGGCTCCCCACAGAACCGCAAAGTTATCTGCAAACATGGTTAAAAGCTAAAAGGATTCTTACATAAATTGGTATAATTTGAAATTTTAACTTTAGTAAAAAAAAATTGGTCCTCGTACTATGCTTAAAATGAGAATTTAATCCTTAATTTTTTTAATTGAGAAACTTAATCCTTACATCTTAATTGTGTCTATGTCAGATATGAAATCTATCCTTAATGTGTTTATCAATTATATTTTTATTAGCTGGCCCTATTCTCATATGTAATTGGGTAAGGAGAGATAGGATAGTAAGTTGCCCCCAACGTCAGGTTGAGAGCAACTTCCGTGAGAGACCTCCAGCAGTCAGAATTATGAATTGCTCACCATGAGACTCGATCCCACGACCACAAGATTAAGAGCCTTGCGCTCTACCAACTGAGCTGGACGGGCAATACGTGTTTATCAATTATTTTCATTAATAGATTAATATAGATAAGGTTTAAAAAAAAGATAATTCTTTTAACTCATTATGAACTCAAGATGATTGTTTGATAAAATCAAATAAAAAGTTTTAAGGGTATCATATCCTAAGGATTCAAACTATATGATTTGAGAAAATCCTCCTCTTTGTATTATAGGTAGAGTTCTCATTTTCATTCCTCTTCTATAAATTTTTATTTGTATCTTTTATAGAAATTTATTTTTATCGGATGATAGAATAAAATTCATTTTGCATCGTATACCTACATCATCGTGAAGGTGATTGTAATCTTTTTCTATCTACGAGAATCCCACTCGAGAGATTTTTACTTCTAAAATTTAATAGACCATGAATTAAATTAAAATCATTTTTAGTGAATTTCTAAGAAGTGATTTCATTTTTTTATCAACCTCGATAAAGATTCAAAGTGTTAAAGTGACCAATCCATCGTAACAACTCAAGATAAAGAAACGTGTTGAAAGAAATGTTCTTAAAAAATCACGTCAATATTTTAATATAAATAACTAAAATTATCAATAATTTCAACTATCTAATTAAATTATAAAAATATAGGAGATTAAATTACGTAAAACACAATATACATAAACAAAATCTTAGGGACCAAAATAATAATTTTACCTTTTGTTATTAACTTCAAAAAGGAAATTGCTATGTGAATTTAAAAAAAACATGAATCAATCTGTAATACATATACATATACGCGCTGACGAGAAAATAGAAAGAGAAACTTACATTCAAGGCCAATCTTCTATGAACGTTGTAGCGCTCAACAGCAAGAACAAGCATGAAGCTCCCGAGTAGCAAAGTGATGACATCGTCCGTATAAGACCGCGCAACTCTATCGGCCGAAGCAACACCGAAGACAGGAAACAAGAAGAGAGGTGCTATGGAGGTGATGGGCATGGGCACGGCCTCGGTTAGCCACCAAGCGAACACCCACGCTGTGACCGCCAACATGTTCCGGCTGGTCACGGGACCATCGAAGGTGACGCAGAGGCAGATGACAGCACTTAAAAGGGGACCCAAAAGCACATAGAAAGTGTGGGGTGTGAGCATGGATTTGAGGGAAAAGGGTGATTGATGGATTGGATGGTTGATGGGTAAAAATGGTGTTTTAGGGTCATCGTATGCCATTTTTTGCTTCAATGGCAAAGATTGGCCAATATGGGATTAGCTCAACAGTAGAGGTGGAAAAGGGTGGGAGGCTCACACAAACCTTATTTTTATATATCAAAGCTTGGGCTTGAGGGAAGTTTGAGCACAAATTAGATTATAACTAATCAAGCTTATTACCTATGCTATGAGATTATGGTCAAATATATAAGTGGTCAATCAACTATGCTCAAATAATTGTTATGATCATTAAATTTTCAAAAATGATAATTTTTTTAAAATTGTTACAAAATACTCATTAAGTTTTATCAAACAGTTATAATATGATCATTAAATTTATACTAATTTTATAATTGTTATAATATCACAATGATCAAATAGTTAAATTTAATGATTACTATTTTTTAACTATAATGAAATATAAGGTTTAATCATTTTAATTTAATTTGGTAAATTTTGATTTTTCTATATAATGTTATTGATAAGTATAAATTGATAATATCATATACAGTTGTTATTAAAAAAAATATGGCATTGATTTTTTTAAAAGAAATTATTAGATTGGCATATAAAATTTTTATTGATTAAATATAAGTAATTAGATTTTATGTGTCATTATGTTAGTCATATGGTTGAATAACAATACAAGTTTTACACCATCACTTCAACGTCAACAATTAAGGATATTATCAAATTTGAAACAACCAATCACAGCTAAATTATGGTATGTTAAATTAAAGTAAATAGTTAAATTATAAATTTGAGTATAGTAGAAGGATTAAAATACTAATTAGACCAAATGATATAAAATAGAACGGAAAGGAGTCATTGTAGACATTATAGGGATTAGTGCCAGATGGATAGGCCATTAGGAAGCAACGTGGATATTATAACTCTAGAATTAAGGATTGTCATTTTATTAGAGTATAATATATTCTAATTTCTAAAGTTAAGAACTCGTATTTTTAATAATTTAATTTTTAAAAATAATAATTAGTCTCTTTTTTAGGGTTTATTTTATTTTATTTAATAGTAATCGATAGTCTCTTTTATTCTTTATCTTTGTAATTGACGGCGACACTAGTCTTAGTATTGGTTGTCGACTATCGTTATTCATTATATTTCATTTGCTTTATTATAGTGTATCTTTGTTTTTCTTGATTTTTTTCTTAATAATTCTATCTTTTTTGCATGTATTATTCTGCCTTTATGACACATTTTTTGTTGTTTCGTCATTATTTCCGTTTATTTTTTCAGGGTTGGATTTGTCATCGCAACGACTGATCAAGATTGTGTTTATTTGTTATCACGGTGATCTTCCCTACTTTTGACCCTCGGATTGAATTTGGATATACGATTTGCGTATGTGGATAGTATTTTCATATCGCTCGTCCTGATTTGCGATATGTTGGTGGTCTTTTAATAGTTTTATTCTTTTTTGTGGTTCGTTTATTGATGCAATCAAATCTATTCGTATTTATCTCTTGTTCGAGTTTATTTGATTATGTTTTTTAACATTTTTCTTTTAGTCATTATGTGATCTTAAGTGGCTAGTTTATTGTGTTTAGGAAAATATTTTTATTATATGTTTAGTTTACTATGGTTGTAAACCTTCATTGTAATTTGAATATTTTATATTTTTAATAAAATTAGTGGCTTTTATAAAAATATATATATTCTAATTTGATTTGATATATAATAATTTTTTATATATTTTAAGTTAAATTAGATAAAATTCAATACAAATTTCTATTATAAAATTCAGGTTAAATTTTAAAATAATATAAAAAAATTAAATCAAAGCGGATAAAGTTAAAAATATAAACCCAAATCAAGCTTAAATCTATCAAAATTTAAATTCGAACTAACGCATAACCATCTTAAACCATAGTTTAGTTGGAATTGTAGATTAATTAATGCAATGATTGATCAATTATAATAATGTAAAATAGTTGAAAAATGTAAAGAAAGTATCTCATCAGTGATAAAACATTTTGAGAGGTGTGCAAGATGCCTGCTTTGTGCTGTGAGTTTTCCATAAGCCAGAGAGATAAAACAAGTGTGGGTGCCTCCACTGAAGACAGATATTAACACTTGTTGCCGTTTTGGTTTATTTAATTAATATACACACATACTGATGGATTCAGTAAATATACTTTTGTTTTATAATTCTTTGTACGTTGAACTCAATTACATGATTTTAGATGCATATGTGTTTGCAAATGAAATTCAAGCCTTCGACCAAATGCAATTCCACCGCCATAAATGTGAACCAATGGGAAACTTCCAAAAACCTTGGGGGAAGCATCCAATTCGTAGCCGGTACAGGCTCTGCTGTGGAGTTGAAGGAGCCCATGAAACTTCCTATGGCTATTGGCAAGGGGATGAAGACGTGAGTGATGGCGATGGATCGAAGTCGGCCTCCCCACATCCTACTAATTCACCACGCCCACACTTTTCAACCCACCGATTTGAAACTGATGTTTCTCTCTAACCCTCAATATTATCTACTCTGTCTATATTTGAAAATTGCTTAATTTAACTATAAGCCCTTAAATTATTACTATCCTAAATTATTATCCTCAACCAACCCAACCCCAACACTTGAAAATGTCTAGCCCAATACTGTGTGTGAATCCGGGCTCGGAGTTAATGGGACTGAAATTGGACTCTTTATGCAAAGCACAAGTTTAATATTGCTTTATTTTACATTCGTTAAAATAAAATAGACTCCGAATTCCACCTATCAGAATGTAAATAAGAGTTAATTCAATTTTAAAACCAACTTATGATGAGGCAAAGAAATTAGAACCAGTCTGTATAGCCGGCCGTCCGGCCCAAGATCCAACATAAAATAACTAAGAGCAAAAAATGAGGAAGGTGACAAGTTTCTTCTTGCTTCTCGTAGAACTGGAACATAAACTAAAGCCTAGCCTTGTTTCTAAATGTGCTTCCTCTTTTACACTTCGGTGAGCTCGTATGATGAAAACTTCGATCAAACCAGCCCCTTTGGAGAGCTGTTGATTACGCTCCTAATGTTCAGCTGACAGTTTTTTCAACACCGTTTCAGCCCGATGCTCGAATTTAGGGAGTGCCCATTCATGTTGGACTATGTCAAGACCATCTTTCTCGGCACCCAGGCTCTGTCAAGAATGAAGAAAATCAGAGGATTAGGGGGCAATCTATGTTAAGAAATGGAAAATATCCAACTCACAGATGAATCTTCGCTTGTAAAAGCTGAGAAACAAGCAAAGTTTGTTTCACTGGAAACTCTTCTCAAGATGCTTTACAAATATAAATTATATATATCAACCAACTAAAACAGTAATGCCTTAAGAAAATAATAGTTGAATTGATATTTCGTCAGATTAAAAGTTCCATGCAGTTCTTATCATTTTGTAATTGATTTTGACTTGATAGCAAAGCAAAAAGGAAAGGGGACAACGGGAGGTTTCTAAGTTATGAAGAAAAAACTAAGCCCTTGGTAATAAAATGCCTCGAAAAGAAAAAGACACAAATTTGCAAAGAAAGAATAGACTTAGATGCGAATATGATGAAGATATATGAGACTGGCAGCCCAAGTTGCATGAAAAACACAAGAACAAAAGGATTGTGGCATCACAATAGCAATAGTGGTGATGTAGGTGGCAGTATTGGTCTATTGCTGTAGGAATTGAATATCCATTTTCCTGTTCTAAAATTTTTCTAATTGCCAAGTTAGCTTTGCTGCCAGCATAAAATCATAAATATTCATCGGTTGACACATGCTACTTAATTATCTCTGTTAAAGAGACAAAGAACAAGCTGAGGAACATAAGACCAAGTGAAATTAAATTAAACTTGCAAGACTTCTTCAGCCTGCAACACTCATTGGAGATCAATTTGACTTAATACCTTTGATGGATCAAAGCCAAACCCACTCATCTGCATCATTCGCTGTGTATCATCCATTGCTGCCAAAAGAAATCATAATTTACAGATGAAACTCTACAGAGAGAAATGAATCCAATAACCAAAGGAAGTGCAGACCACAATCTAAAATAAAAGTACATGACAGGAAGTTCATGATCCAATACTAACCATTTTCTTCTCCCAGGATCAGACTAAATAAACCCCTCAAACCAAACAAATTGAGGAAGTACCTGGAAGTGAAAGAATTTGTGAATAAATGGTAGTAGTAAACCAATAAAGTCTCTAGAAAATAGAAGAGCACAGAGAGAGAAAAATAATACCATGAGCGGCTACTGACATAGCTGACATCAACTGTGCTAAGGTCAATTCCATTCTGCAACATTGATCTGAATCTCTGAGTTAATGGGAAGGGTATTTTGGCTGCAAGATATGAACACGGAAAAATAGATGAGGGGTCACATAATAGTTTACTAATAGTGAAATAACATCAGTAAATTACAGTACAAAGATCAGTTAAGAGAATTTTGATTCCAATAAAACAAAAGATTGCGTCTATGATAAAGAGTGAAAAAGAAAAATAGATCCAATCTAATTGAAACGATATAATTTAGCAAATTCAGAACAACAAATGCATGATATCAATTTAATAAATACAATTGTAAATTCAATCTTGATTGTAGAATTCAAAGGAAAATACTCAGAAATCTTGGAAGTAAAACAGTAATAAAGAATCAGACCTGCAACAAATCCAGAGAAGAAAAAGTTGACCCAGGCGAAAGTGAGAGTCTGGCAGTAACAACAGTTTACACAAAACAGTCAATTCCAGGACATAAGCAATCAAATCAAAGCATATGAACATTAAAGTTCTAAGGATCATAAAAATACCTGAGGTATAATCATAGAGAGGTTTTTCTTCATCATATCCATAGCCATGTTAGGGTCAGAGAACATTTGCGCTTGCGCATTTTGAGCCTGGCCCTTGGGGACAAACAGTAGTCCATTTTCCTACAAAGTTCAATATAAATTCCATTATTTTTCTTCTTTTCTGTGACAAATATATACATAAATGGATCATTTTAATCAATTTAACCCGACTTTAAACACTCCTTTAAGCTTAATATTAGCACCAATTCACACCTTCTAGATCAAATTGCAGTTTTCTTCCTAAACAGAATCTAAACTGACCAAGGCTTGATTACAGCATGTGAATATGTGATACTTTAATCTTCTCCCTTTCTGAGACAAACATATACGTAAATGCACTATTTTCATCAATTTAACCTTAATATTAGCTCCAATTCGCAACTCCTTGATTAATTGTAATTTTCTTCCTAAACAGAAACTAAACTGACATAAGCCTGATTACAACATGCGATACTTCAATTTTCTCCTTTTCTGAGACAAATATATATAAAACCAGATTTTTAACACTCAATTAAGCTTAAAATTAGCAGAAATTCACAGCTTCTAGATTAATTGCAATTTGCTTCTAAAAAGAAACTACACTCACCGAAGCCTGACTACAATATCTGATAACCACATAATCAGCTAACAGTTTAACAAAGCTTTAAAAAGAAAGAAATAAGCAAAAACTTAGAAAATAAACAATTATAGAATAAATTTTGATAACAGAAATTCTAAAGGAAGATGAAAAGCAAACCTCATTGCTGAAATAAACCCTACGGGAGCGAAAAGACTTCGGAGGGATGAAATTTGCAGCAGCTCGTAAATTCCGAGCCCTAGCAATTACTTGTCTGCAAAATAGAAACTCGAGAATAAGTGAATCCGAGACCTATTATTAAGCTTGTCGAAATGAATATATATATATGGAAAATAGAGCTGTTCGGAGAGACTTGCCCTTCTTTGACGATCTTATGATCGGGGACTTGAAAAGAGCGCATGAGCTTGGAGACGAAGTAGCGGAGGATGCCGATGAGGACCATTACCACTGAAAGAGGTATCAGCACCCAATCTCTGATCGCCGTGTCGAGAACCAGATCTTCCGCCATCGATGAATCCTACTCTGATCTTTGATCGAAAACAAAGATTTTGGCTTATGTTTTATTTTTATTTTCTCTTTAGTTTTGTTACCAGTGTCGTATTGCTGCGTCTTTTGTCGTTTTGATTCCCTCACCCTCGATGTCGATGGCGCTGAACTTCTATTTACCGGCAATCAGCTAGTTGAAGTTGCAAAATAAATATCTAATTTTGAATTGGCTTATTTAAAAGTTTTGCCTCAAATTATACACATCTTTCAATTTACACCATAAATTATTTTCTTTTTAATTTACCCCTAAACTATCATTTTCATCTCAATTTACCCTATAATAAAAAATTCTGATAATTTTTGGAACAAAATGGTAGTTTAGGGGGCAAATTGAAAAATAATCGTGAAAATGAGAAAATTGTATAGTTTAGGAGGAAAATCATGAATAAGGCCTTTTCAATTTAATCCCTCTAATTTATAAAAGTTGAAAAATAAATCATATACCTTAAAATTAAAAAATCAACAATTTATACATAAGAGCTTAATAAAATTCATTTAAAAAAATAAAAACCAATTTGATTTTTAAAAAATTCATTTAAAAAACGTTCAAGTTCACGTCTTTCTAGATGATGTGCAATAGCAACAGCAACGAGTCTCAGCAATTTCCATGCAAGGAAGATCCTTAACTTGCATTTGCTGTTAATCTCGTTCTTTTCTTTTGTATATTATACAACTTTGTTTCTTTCCTCTTTTGGTTTTATATTTATAGATATCATAAAAACAAACTCCATTTCGTTTTTCATGTCCGAGCTTACATTTTGCATCCATCGATCAAACCTTGAAGATGAGTCCAGCCTCATTTACTGCCCATCTAGCCCTATACCAACACAGAAGAATTAACTCAAAACCATTTCAGCGTAGACCTTGCCTCCATAAAATTCATGGTGGAATAACTTGTATCTACAGCAATTTCCATTCATCATATTTGAAGGAGTCTTTGGTTCCGATGACTTACCCTTCACGGCAGCAACGAGGCCTGTCGACTCTAGTTCCACCGGTTGCCAATAGTTCCGGTTCAGAGAGGAGGATTCGCTAGGAGCCTTGGAAACGGTTCTCAAGCTTTACTCGGCGATCAAGAACCGAAACATACCCGAACTATCCTATATCATTGATGACGAATGCCAATGCATCTGCAATTTCTTCTCGTGTTTCCGACCTTTACAAGGGAAAAAGGTAACAAGCAGGAAATTGATTACCAGTCATTGAATTCTTTTCGATACGGGATGGTCTGAAATATGTTTATGATCGAATGGTTCTTTCCTGTTTGCAGCAAGTGATTGAATTCTTCACTTCTTTGATAAAGTATATGGGAAATCACATTAAATTTGTGGTGCAACCAACACTGAATGAAGGGATGGTTGTTGGCATCCATTGGAGATTAGGTTTGCCCTTCCTTCACAACATTAAATTTCAATAAATTACGGTCCTAACTTCGGACTCCGGATACCAATGCATGTAAGGTCGAGTCATAAGAAGTTCAATGTCCTTTAACCGAAAATTTACTTTGGATTTCTGGCAGAGTTTTGAGTTCAACTTTCTCCAATATTATATGTTGCAGAGTGGAATAAAGTTTATGTGCCACTGGGAAAAGGTTTCAGCTTCTATACTTGCCATGTCTACCATGGAAAAGTGATGATAAGGTAATGAAAGCATCACCAAATGTAACAAGAGATATAATTGTCATGCTTCATATTTATTTATGTTCTTCCGATAATAATATCTGGCGAATAACGACCAGGAATGTAGAGATGTTCATGGAACCACTCCTTCATCTGGAACCATTCAGGCTAGCAAGTGATCTACAAGTTTTCTTCAACATTTAAAGTAATGGAATCAACCTTCTAATGCATTTGTGTGCAGAAAATAATCGGATACTTGACGACCGTAATGGACAATATAAGCTCGGGGGTGTCATCCAAAACCTGGAAAAAGGTCATAAGTGCAGTTCTTGCTCTGTTGTTTACAGCTACCATTCTGCTTTTCTCAATGTATTAGGTAGCTTCGTTTTCTTCTCGTTCGATTACTCTGTTTAAGAAATTGCTATCGACAATATAACCCTCCATTCTATGTAATTAGATGCATACACTTCTGCTTTAGTTTAGTTTGCGGTTAGCATCGGAAAGATGGGTCTGTTTTTGAACAACATGAACAAGTACACCTACATCCAGGCTAATGGCTGGCAGCATAACTACAAAATATATAATTGCCAATGCCATGGCCCTATGCTACTACATTTTCATTCTTACCATAAACAAGCAACTAGTGTAAAGCTTCTAAACAAGTCAATGCACAATAAATAAATAAATAATGGATAAAAGGTCATAATTATTTGTTCCACCACCACAGAAAACCGAGATGACCAAGCTCCCATGCTCCCTGCAAATAGCGAGATAGAACGATTAGCAGCGACAGCGCCTCACTTAGAAACCTATTGACAGATAAATTCATGCAAGTTTTGCAGATATAAGAACAAACTTATTCAAGCATTTGTTCTAACCTGTCGACACCACCAGATCTCATGAATGTTTAAATAGATGATGATTTAGTAACGAAATGCGTATCCCCATCACAGATATGCTTTCACATCCAAGAAGCTTGCGAAGCTGACCGTCGCAGAGTACCACCATTGGATTTGCAGGATCCTGAAACGATAGAAGAAAAGCCAATCACATTAACAGCACAAAAACCCGAGAATATGACAAAGCATTTTAAGCTGCCAACCCGCACCTCCAAGTGATTGACCTTTATATACTCCCATACATGTCTTTCTGCCTCGGTTGCTAGCGTCTCTCGTCCTCCAGCATCCAAAAACTTGGCAAGGGCTTCAGATATTATAACAGGGTTGGCACTTGGTTCAACACTTTCGGTTATAGACTCGGTATCGACTTGCACTCGTTTAGTATGGCTTGAATCCTCTGAAATGATTAGTAAGATTATAATCCAATGATAGAAACATCAAATTCAACTCGTCAACAAACATATATGGCAACATAATGCATCAAACACGTACTTGACGGCTCAAATGCAGTAATATGTTTTGCTAGTAGCTTATTCATCTTGAACATGTCGGTGCAGTCTGTCTCACACACCAAGCGCAAGGCATCATCGCAGATTATTTTTCTCTTGTTACTTGGATCTTGGAGGCTGTTCTTCCTTATATATGCCCACAGCTCTTCACAATCTAAATCAAGCAGAGACAGATGTTTTTAAGCAACAAAATACATGCATGAAAAGTTTCTTTCGTTTTTTTTTTTGGGGGGGGGGGGTTTGTTGGAGGGGGGGAACACATGCAACCACGGAGTACTTTACGGGTAATCTGGGAAACCAACCTCAGTCCTATAGGCAAAGCTGGCTCACCAACAATCACTTGAAGCGCCGGCGAAACCCTACAAACTTTTTTCAGACCAGCTGGTCCGCCTCTGTTCCAACTGGAGCACTGCAATAACATTATAACACAGACAAACACTTGAATCATTGTTGAAACTGATGACTGTCATTTATACTGATAAAACATCAAGGAGCAACACTCAGATTCCAATCATGAATCCACGTTGCATAAAATATTAGTAAAGCTGACAATAAAGCGAATAAGAACACGAATATGCTTTGCATATGTTATGCATGCTTGCAGATTAAGTTATCACTTGTCAAAGAAAATAGCCAACAACTAATCATTCACCATTCACATTTTAATGAACCCTAAATCTCTACAGGGAAAATTACACCAAAAATCCTGACTTTACAAGCCTAAACATTCAGTTGCACCAAACGTGCAAAAAGGGATTAACCGGCCCTAAACTTCATATTTCCAAATCCCTAAAATGGATCTCATTTCTTACACACGTCTCCTCAAAATGGTTGCAAAAGTGGCAAAAAAAGAGGGGCAAACCTTTCTTTAGGAACTTCTGGGGTGGCAAGGGTGGCGGCATTTTGAGAGAAGACTTGGGTTTTCTCGACAACCGGCTGAGGCTGAACCTGCGGCGGCGGTTGAGCCGTAATTGGAGACTGCGAGTACGACTGAGGGTTTTGGCGGGAGCTGAGGTCATCGGAAGGGAAATGAGAGTGATTTTGGAGGGCAAAATGGGGAGGAAATTGTTGGTGAGGGTAGTGTTGAAGGGTAAAATGGTCCCTGGAAGTTGTTTGAGTTTGGTGTGAGCTGAGGAGAAGGCTGATATGGTCCCTGATGAAGCCAGCTTTATGGGAGAGGTCGAGTCCAAGCTTGGCCTCCAGCCGCTGAACGACGCCGTTCAAGGTGGTGGCGCTGGTGGGGTCAGGCTGCCGGAGAAGGACCTCCACCTCTCTTGCTATCTCTTGGTCGGACACCATACTCATGCAGTCATGCTTGCTTCGTCCTTCGTATTCATAATATAAGCAATTGTTTTCTTAACTGAAAAAACGGACTTTGCAAAAGCAAAACGTCTTTCTCTCTCTTTTATATCTCATCCAAAAGACGAAAAGGTCCCTCTTTCTTTACTTGTAGTACTTCTTTGCTCAAATTTGGTTTTGATTCCTCTATTAGGATAAAAAATTTAATATTTAACCACTGCATTTTAATTTAATATAATTAAATCCTTTAATTTGGTAATGGCATTAATTAATTCAAATATTTTTCAACATCATTAAATATTTAGCCTAAAATATTGACATAATTTCTTTAAAAAAAAGCAGCATTCTAATTCATCGTGGTGACATGTACTCTTTGTTAGAGGTATACATGACAGAATTAAAATCATTAATAAATTATGCTAAATTAAAATAGAAGGACTAAATTTTAAATTTGAGGATGATAGAAGGATGAAAACTAAATATGACCTAAACCTTTACTTGTGTGTTTGGATTGCAGTTGAATGAAAATGAAGCGTTGGATGAGACTTTAGTGGGGGTGGGTCAACAACTGTAGTGGATTGTAGTTGAGGTGGTGGCAGACGAGTATGGGTTTAACCATAAAGACGGACTAGCTTATGTTATGTTGCAATTGCCTCATCAAGTCATCATCATTGTCCATTGCATAACTTTAGGGTAAACTACATCTTTGACCATTTAATTACGGACGAATCCCAGTTCCATCATCATTTTTTTTATTTTATCAATCAAATGATAGAATAATTGACGTGATAATTAACAAATTTAATATAAATATACATTTGTTCTTCATTAATTATACATTTTATTAATTCAGTCTTAATTTTAATTTTAATTCAATAAATTTAATCATTCAATCCGATAATAATAGTAATTATATCCAAACAAAAATATATTGATCTTAAATGTCTTAAAATAGACACAACCGAAAGAACTTTGTTCTACCACCTCAAATCAAGTGTACAATAACTTAAAGAGTTTTAAAAGTTATATATTTATGTAGGAACAAATTTTAATTATCTATTTTAATAATGTCTCAACCGTTGAATGTAAGAGATTTTAACCTATAAATAAGAGGTCACCCCACTATTTAGCAATAATATACAGGGTTGAGTGTTATAAAATTGGTCGATTCACATAATATCATTACAGTTAAATAAATATTTAAATACTATATTGTCAAGGAAATATAAATATAAGGATCAATTATTGTGAAGACCATTTTTATTTTGATTTGTTTTATTTTACTCACTAAAATTTAAAAAATATATTTTAGTTATTTATATAATTATATTATTAATTTATTACAATTTAATCATTGAACCATTAACTTTATTTATATTGCTAATGTAACATGCTAGTACAAATAATTAAGTTTTAGTTTAATCCTTAAATTTTAGATAAAATATAAATTTGATCACTAAATTCTCTTAATATCTCCTTTTATCGACGTCGCCCCGGTTATCTTCTTTGACCAGTAGTGGTATTGGACTTAAGTTGTTACTCTTCCCCCTTTACTTTTACGATTTACATTATTTTAAGTACATGATATACAATACTTGGTGATCTTTCAATTCAAAATATTTTTTTTGGTAATGGTTGTTTCTCCTTCATCGAAGAAGAATAATACAAAGAAGAAGAACATGATCAACACCAAGACAACTCAGCCCACTAGCTTGACTAACCCAAAACTCGGTGGTTCCAAATCATCAAACGTATAGGATCAAAATGAAATTTTCCTATAGTACAGATACTTATTCAGTATTTTTACCTCTATTTGGTTTTCAATATTCCAGAATATTTAGTAACGAAACAAGAAGTCTTTCTTTCGGCTTTGATTTACTTTGCTTGGTCTGGCCTCCTTCTCCTGGACTCTTTATTATTCTTATTCTCTGAGTCACTCTTTCGCTTTCTTTCATGCGTCTCTCCATTATTTACTGCAACTAAACCGGTTTGTAAACACCCCTTTTACTATTTCGTTTCTTCCTCTTAAGTTTTCCTCTGCTCCTTCCATCGATATTTTAGGTTCAAGAAAGTATGCTTTCTTCTGCTTCAGATTTTATTTTGAGCGGTTATTTTTGTTCTTTGCCTTGTTAAATTAGGAATAGCTGGTTTCCTTTCTGGGTTTGCGTTATTTGATTCAGTTATGTAAAGTTATTAGCGTAAGAGTTTGAACAGAGTTCTGTTTTCTTAAAGCTCCTGCTCGAATCTGGAATTGGAGATCTCATATCTTGTTCATGGAAAGCTTAATGAGAATAGTATATATGTATATTTTGTAATTAGTTAATTTTCTTGGTGTAGGTATTGTTTTCATGATTTGAATCCATGAAACTCTTGCTTGGACCAAATCAATACTTGTCTTCACTTAATTGGTTTGTGTCTAGTTTTAAAGTGAAGTAGTTAAAGGTTTGAATTACCTAGCTTCAAGAAAAAATAAAGACGTGGTATCCTCCCGTTGGAATATCACTAT